GACCAAGTTGGTTAAAGATAAACTTATAATTATCAGGCAGGTGCCTTTGCTTGTCTTCAAACTTTAGATCTACTTGTAACAACATAGGAAAGGCAACTAGCCGGATCTGATTGAACAAAAAAAAAAAAGCTAAAACAGTTTATGGACTTGAACACCAAACTAAGATGATAATGTACAAATTTCTTAGCAACAAAAACAATATGTGAAAATGCTTCTTTGTTTTTGCTCTCATTCAGATGTGACTATTTTTTTCAGGCGGCTCTCTCTTAGCAACCTGTAAGACACAAAAAAAGTGTAGAAGACACAATTAAAAACATGGAACAAACAAAAAATGACTATGGTGCATATTACACACCAATATTCACTCCTTTGAGAAGTTCCCAAACAAGTATGTTCAGTGTAACAAATTACTTTTCTTATTCTATGTAGTGAAATCAGCATTTTTACATATATACATCACCATAAATTGAATATTATGAAGTTGTCAGTTTTACCAATCCCAGACTTATACATCTCTATTATCCAACACATATTGTGTGAATGGATCACATAAGTTATCTGTTACCTGTTCCCAGTCTTACCTGTGGTTTAGTGGAAATGAGGGGATACTCTGCTCTGGGTTTGCAGGGACCTGCTGAGGACATCTCTGTGCTGGTTCCAGCTTCTGCTTTGACACATGATGGAAATAAATGAATTGATAGCAAAAAGACTTTACATAATTAAAAAAATCACTTATTTGTCATTTCAATTTTTTTTTTCTGATGTCTCAATGCTATAAAGGAAATGGCTTTAAATCACAATTAGTCTTACCTTGTGGTTGAGTATCACCAAGGCCTACGCTGTGGCAACTAGGTTTAGAGGGCAATGTATCTTCATCTTGTAAAAAGGACAGTGGGATGAGGGAAATAATAACCACAGCAATATTAGTGATGATCCCTGTCTGTTATTCAATGTATTCATTAGGTTTACAATTTTTTGAAAATTGGAAATTCAGGGTTGGAAAGAAAAGAAAATCAGTGTTGTTTCTACATGGGCCCACCATTATGCAAGGTAAGAAGTACTGAGTTAACTAAAATTTAAAATTTCTATTTGAATTTCTGATGTTTGTCTGGTAATTCCACTTTGAACACAAGGATATCAGATGCTCTTAACAGCTTCTTGGTTTTTTAATTCTGCCTTTTTACAAAACAAAGATATTACACTTTACACTTCTGAGTATTAGATTTAATGTACAAAATATACTCTTTCTCCCAAAAAGTCTGATATTTTTTAATGTCTTTTATTTTATTATGTTTTAAATTTATAACTACTCCATCATATATTTTTGGGTTTAATTGGTTGTCAAATGGTAAAATTCTTGGTTGTATTCTGCATTTTTTTTTTCTCCTGCAGTACAACACTTTGTGAGAAACTTAATCCTAGTCACTGAATGTTATCGTCAAAAAGAGAAAGTAATATGATTCAACTTAATTTTGAAGCTGAATTCAAAACTGAAGTTGTCATTTATGTCACATGCAACTATTTTGAACTGTATGAAATACAGCATGTGTCTAAAAGAAGAGCTTTAAAATTATATTCTATGTGGTTTTCATTTGAGGCGCAAGTTTTGGAAGCTCAAATTATCACT